TTAAAATTACATTTGCTCATTTTGGGAGAGGATCATAAACCGGTAGAATAAAAAGTGTCTAAGCTAGACTCTGAACAATATAAAGCCGATGTAGTTTTTATCATAAGGATATTTCTCATTAGGAACCAGTGAAATCCTTCCGTCTGTTTGTGTAGAAGGTGCGAATGTGAAAAAAGCCAAGACACTTTCTCTAAAAAAAACCTGGCTTTTCTCACCAACTTTTCTCGACTGTTAATAAAAATGCGTCGGTCTTTTCACAGCCGTCCTGTTGTGTCTGAAACAGCAGCTGCATTCTTACACTAGTTAGCCTGACTCTCACCGGACCTAGCCGCGGCGATCCAAGATGGCGGCGTATACAAAATGATTGTTTTATGCTCAGTGGTATTAGCTGACATATTAGCAGAACTCACCTGTATTTGGGCATCCGGTCCTCCCTGTTCTGCGCAGTGGACGAGCTCCCATGATGCTTTGCGTGTGTGGCTCTCATGCACGTGCACAGAGGGGCTCGGCCGCGCTCTGACCAATCAGAGCTGCTGATCAGAGCGGGAAGGAAAGGAGCATAGTTTGTGGCAGTAAAGTGTGGATTTAAACCGAAGGACTTAAGAAGAAAAAAGTTCAGGACGACAAGGGACAGTAAAAAACCCACAAAATCCGACCTTTGTGAAAGCTGGAGGTTCTCTGTCAGGTTCTCTGTCAGCTGAGGTCGAGCTGTTTTAGTTTACTTTGAGTTCTATGGGCAACATTTCTGGATAGCCCGTGTGAATTTAGTCTGCAGTACCGCGAGAATCGAACGAGCACATGGGTTCTCCGGCACCGAGCTAGTAACACCCTATCCAGTTATTATAATAGATCCATGCACCAGACCCTTGTAGTTTGTTGAGCTTCACACAAGGGTCTGGGATTTCTCGATTTGCGATGTATTGTATTTTATGTATTTTACAAGGTGGGGCCTTGTAAAAAAAACTCAGTGTGTAATTGGATAAACCACTTTTCTGTTATTTTGAGTGACGAGTTCCTTCAACCACTCACGTCAAAGTGTGTGCACGACTCCCATGGGTGGTCAGATGCTGGACAGATTTTACAGACAAAAACTTGCAAAAATGCCCCCCCCCCCCCCCCCAAAAAAACATTTTGGCGAAAAAAGTAATGCATTCAACTTAGACTAGAAGCCTAGCTTTAGCATTTAGCCTAGCTTTAGCCATCTCCTTTGCCACTACCGGAGCCCGTGAGGAGTAGAGCCACAACATCTTCACCTCAATGACATTTACTAAACATTCCTCTTGCTCCGGCTTCAGTTTCTTGATATTTGGATTGAACCAGAACAGATTATTTTACTATCACATTCTCCGACAAACTACAACCAGCAAATTCAGCACAAACTCTGACGTCACCGACACCGACCTACAACACCCGCCTCCCCCGCTCTCTGATTGGTCGGAGGAGATTCAACCGAGGAAACTGCAGCCACTAGGATCAGACCCAGACGTACATGTAGGAAATGACCATGGACCAGAGTTTACACATGGTAAGACCAGATGTACATGTAGGAAATGATCATGGACCAGAGTTTACACATGGTAAGACCAGACGTACATGTAGGAAATGATCATGGACCAGAGTTTACACATGGTAAGACCAGACGTACATGTAGGAAATGATCATGGACCAGAGTTTACACATGGTAAGACCAGACGTACATGTAGGAAATGACCATGGACCAGAGTTTACACATGGTAAGACCAGACGTACATGTAGGAAATGATCATGGACCAGAGTTTACACATGGTAAGACCAGACGTACATGTAGGAAATGACCATGGACCAGAGTTTACACATGGTAAGACCAGACGTACATGTAGGAAATGACCATGGACCAGAGTTTACACATGGTAAGACCAGACGTACATGTAGGAAATGATCATGGACCAGAGTTCACACATGGTAAGACCAGGCTAGTACAAACTGTGTTATACAAATAACCTTGCCTTGGAGGACATGTTTACTTCTATAGACAGACAGAAATCCTCCGGGAGCTTCTTGGACGGAGGCGTTGTCTTAAATTTCATGTTTTAAAGTCAATCAAATACGACATTTAGAGTAAATTAAGTTGTATTGATTAAATTTGTTCTTGCATTTCCCTCTTTACGAATAAATCATATCTTTCTACCAAATAATTGAAACCAAAGCCTGAATATTGCCAACGCAGTTCAGAGAGTTCGCGCTGGAGCACTTTCAGATGACCATCGCAAAAACACCCGCTTTCCAAAGAGTGCGTAGGTGGAATATTTGTGTGTTTTTGCAATTTCACATCAAAACAAAACTGCCAAGGATTGTGTAAGAGGTGAGTAATGCATATTTACAGCGATGACAAATGTGTGATGGGTCTGACAGTACGCAGAGCAGCGAGACCGAAGACAATGCTTGAAATTAGTCAATACTTCCTGGAACGAGCTCGGAGCGGCGCAGGGAACGACGGTCTGTCTGTGTCGGCGTCGGTCGTTCCCCGTGAAGTCTGAGCCGAGCACGCGGAGCTCCGTGGAGAACCTAATTATAGTGACGACTCTACAAGACCCGAGCTTTAGTCTTTAAGATAAGATAAACTTTACTGATCTCACGACGGAGAAATGTACATGTCTCACTTGGCAGAGAAAGAATCACCCGGGTTGTGCAAAAAGACAAAAAAGTATTGTGTTTTATGGCGAGATATATTATGTAAAATAATGAAATTGAAAGTGTTTTGTGACGTGGCACCATGTAAAGACCATCGACTGTACATATTAACAGTTAGCCTGGTCTTATCCATCCGTACTCTCCGGTCCATCATCATGTCCTGCATGTAACGTCTGGGTCTGGTCCCTGTGTTTGAGATTACAATCTGTTGAATTCCATCCGACCAATCAGAAAGCGCGGGAGGCGGGTGTTGTAGTTAGGTGTGGGTCATGTCAAACTGGCAGGTTGTAGTTTGGCGAAGGATACGATAGTAAAGTAATCTGCTCTGGTTCTATCAAGAAACTGAAGCCGGAGCAAGAGGAATGTTTAACAAATGTAATCGGTGGCAAAAATTGTGGCGCTACTCCCCACGGGCTCCGTTAGCGGCAAAGGAGATGGATAAAGCTAGGCTAAGTGCCCCACTCACTCGGGCTCATTACATACGTCACAGTAAACTCAGATCGTTTCAATCTGCAAAAGGAGTTAACCCCTCCCACCTGTTCACGGACTCAATGGAGCAAATCCAGACCTTAGTACAAAATGTAATTTGTACTATGGTGTGGTACAACCAGGCTATATTAACAGACTTAGTCATGCCTATCTCCGTCGTTAAAAATAATGTGCCACCGCTTTCGGCTTCAGTGGGCTTTTTCAAAAGGGCAGCAGTAGCAGTAGTAGTAGTAGCAACAATGGCTACACAGAGTGAATCCTCTGAACTACCACTACTGCTACAAATATTACTATAATTACTACTGGTACTGCTCCTGCTGCCGTCTGCTCTGCTAACAATGGCCTCCTCCCTCCTCCGGAGCAGAGTGAAAGTGTCTTAACAGACTTCGCGGCTGCATCAGGTAAAGGTGCAATACACATGTAGAGGTGCAATATACAGGTGTTGATGATGTCAGGCCATTCCACTGCTGCGTCGAGAGGAAGTGCAGCAGTGAAGCAGGATGTCAGGGACTTTCTTTTAAATAATCTGTAAAAAGAAAAAAACACATTTAAACTAATACATTCACATTTCAACCAAGCTGTTTCTACACAATGTTAAAAGCACGGAGGATTCTTGAGTCTTGGTTCCTGGAGGGTCTAAGGGCAGACCGTTTAACCCATCGACTGCCTGCCGTTTTTGATGATTTCACTGATTTTCAAGAACCACAGAATATTATGTGCTATGACTTTGTGAAATTTTTGCAGATGATGTCGTCCTGCTGGCTCCAACGAACCAGGACCTGCAGCATGCACTGGGACGGTTCGCAGCCGAGTGTGAAGCGGCTGGGATGAGAATCAGCACCTCCAAATCAGAGGCCATGGTGCTCGACCGGAAAAAGGTGCCTTGCCCTCTTCAGGTGGTCCTTCCTCAAGTGGAGTTCAAGTATCTCGGGGTCTTGTTCACGAGTGAGGGGAGGATGGAGCGTGAGATTGACAGGCGGATCGGTGCAGCGTGCGCAGTGATGCGGTCGCTGTATCGGACCGTTGTGGTAAAGAGGGAGCTGAGCCGAAAGGCAAAGCTCTCGATTTACCGGTCAATCTTTGTTCCCTCCCTCACCTCTGGTCATGAGCTTTGGGTAATGACCGAAAGAACGAGATCGCGGATACAAGCGGTCGACATGAGCTTCCTCCGCAGAGTGGGCGCTCCCTTAGAGATAGGGTGAGGAGCTCGGTCACACGGGAGGATCTCGGAGTAGAGCCGCTGCTTCTCCACGTCGAGAGGAACCAGTTGAGGTGGCTCGGGCATCTGTTCCGGATGCCTCCTGGACGCCTTCCTGGGGAGGTGTTCCGGGCACGTCCCACCGGGAGGAGGCCCCGGGGAAGACCAGGACACGCTGGAGGGACTATGTCTGTCAGCTGGCCTGGGAACGCCTTGGAGTCCCCCCGGACGAGCTGCAGGAAGTGTGTGTGGATAGGGAAGTCTGGGCGTCCCTGCTTAGACTGCTGCCCCCGCGACCCGGTGTTCTGTCGATTTGGTCTGTTCGTCGAGATGATCTGTCTCAGCTGTTTATGATGTAATGCAAACCTGCGCATGCGCTTCTCACGGCAGCCAAGATGGCGGACATAAACTCTGTGAATTGCTTTAAAAAGCAAAATACGAACGAATTAAGACGCGAATGTCACTTTTAATGCAATTTGAGGCGAGATGTTGATGGTTCTAGGTTGTTATATGGGGGTTTTAGGAGTCAACGTTTCGTGTAAAGTTTGATTTAAGTGGTCAACTGCTCCTGTAACCATTACGTAATGCTGCTGATGGCCAAAAAAAAAAAGTCTGTTTCTTCGTCTTGCTATGGTTTAAGCGCATGCGCATCAGCTATCTGGCTGTTTCTGCTTCGCCGAAGTCTGAAACACACGTGAGTATTTGTCTCTGTGTAAATTGATGATATATTTTAACTATTTAACGTTCTTGCATCAAAAGCGTGCTTCCATCGTCACATAACTGCATAACTGCAAGTAAAAAAATTGGGGTAAACTCGCGTTAGCTAACACTATGCCCGATAGACACATATGCTGTACTAGTTAACCTGGTTATTATGCTACCGAATATGATTGGTTTTCAATATGTGTCAGTGGTTTTTGGAGTCAAATATTCAGGGAAGCTTGTAATTAGCGGGTGTATTAGCATTAAAATACGAGGGAAACGCTTCTGAAAAACACGCTCAAACTTGTAACTAGCACGCGCTAATGAGAGGGCAACCAAAGAATACTATTTTCTTTTTCCCACTTTCTACCAAAATCCTGTGTTCGAAAAAGAAATTACATTCAAAGGAATATCCATACCGCATCTGTCTAGGTAAAATTTGGAGCGAGCAAAATTGTATAAAAATTGTAATATATGAACGTAATATTAAATGTACTATTGCATATCTGTATGATGCTTCAAATGAATGTCACCTCGTTACTAATCCTAATCCAAAGTATAGTATTTTATCTATTAATGTATATTGTGTATGTATTTGTTCATGGTTTAAAGAAATATCAATGATTTTTAATTGTATGTTGTTTGTTATTCTTTGGAAGTAATGTAATAATTATATTAAAATTAATTAATGTCTTCTCTTTTTCTCCACAGAGCCCTATTCTTCTTTTGCACTGATTGATTCTCATCAATTTTTTTGACCTCCCTTTATTGCACCATACTCTTCTTGTCCTTCTCCTGCATCTCCTTTCTTGTCTTACTCTCATTTTCTTGTCCATTTCCCTGTTTGCACCTCCATCTTTCTTTCTCTCCTCTCAATATATTTCCTTCCTCTTCTATTTTTGATTGATACTTTGATTTTTGACTATTTGCCTGCCCGTCCGACCACGATTTTTGCCTCATTCCTTCTGATTTGTCTGCCAATTGATTCTTCAATTTTTGTCTTTTTGCCTGTCCATTTGACCACAATTTTTGTCTGCCGTTTAATAATGGAGCATAAATGGGATGAGATTTTTCTGCTCCTCACAGAAAATGGGTATCCTGAAGGAATGGGAAAAGTTCAGAGAGCAAGTCTGAAGAAGTATTCCCAGAAATTTACACTAAAAAGTAATGTATTTTTTCCAATATATCACATTGTTCTTGTTTTTTTTATATGTTGAATGTTTCTTGTAGATGGTGAGCTGTTCTACCAGAATAGAAGGGCCATCAAAACCTTACACGAGGCCTGGAAGCTGTTTCAGGAGTTTCATGCAGCTCCGATGGGTGGCCATACTGGGACAATAAAGACGCGACATTCAATCTGCTCCAGATTTTACTGGAATGGCATGACTGTGCAGATTGACAAATGGGTATGTTTTTCACATTTCAAATGCATGCATGCATCATTTATTTGAATTGTTTTCTTCAGGTTTCTGAATGTGACCAATGCCAGCGTGAGGGAAAGCCTCTGTCTTATGTTGTGCCTCTTCAAAGCATTAAGGTAAATTTACATTTTGCCATTATTTAATTGCTGACACACCTTAATAAAAACAAATGATATTGCATTTCTAGGTGTCTGCTGTTTGGGAGCTTTCGGGGATTGACCTGACAGGGCCGTTCCCTAAAACTGTGGATGGCTACCAGTACATCTTCACTGCAACGGACTACTTTTCCAAATGGGTTGAGGCTTTCCCATTAAGAACAAAGACTGCAGCTGAGGTTGGGCAAAGACTGTGCTCAATTATATACAGGCATGGATGCCCAAAACGTATCCTGTCAGATCAAGGGCGGGAATTTGTGAATGAGGTGCATTATTTGTAATTCTTCTTTTATATGTGTGTTCTGCCAATGTCTTTCAATAAATAATTGTTTTTAGCTCAATGACACTCTTTGTTCTCTGCTGGGCATTGAGAGAAGCGTCACTGCTGCCTATCACCCACAGACAAATGGACTTGATGAAAAGACTAACCACAACATCAAGAGGTAAGACACTGATCGTTGTACAATATCACTTAAATACTTCACGTCCCTTTGAGACAACCACTGTAGTGATTTGGGGCGATTGATTTGATTAACATTATGTATTTTAATATTTTTCCCCCTCTTAATGTTCTGAATGGTGTTTTTCAGAGCTGTAATGAAGTTGGTCAATGACCAGCAGAACAACTGGGACACGTTCCTGGATGCCACCCTGTTCTCCTTAAGGTCCAAAGTGCACACCTCGACAAAACACACGCCGTTCCAGCTCATGTATGGAAGGGAGGCTGTGTTCCCCTCAGAGGTGCCTGTAGATTTTCCTGTAAGCTTGATATTGCAAATCGTTGGTGTTTGCACACAGATCACCTACAGTAACAGTAATTTTTTTAGCTTTCTATAGTGCTTCCAGATGAGGATGACATCAACAAATTCAAGAAAGGTAGACAGGAAAAAATGGACCAAAATACAAAGAGTGCAACAGAGAACATGTCTGTGGCACAAAACAAACAAAAATTGGCTTATGAGAAAAAAACACTTAAAAAATACAAGGGTCTGCAGTACACCGAGGGACAAGAGGTGCTACTCTTTAATATGCGAAAGCGGGGAAGAAAAGGGGGTAAGCGTTTGTTTGGTCTTAACACCATGATTTACATTTCATGGAAAGTGAACAAAATGGTTCACATGTATTATTCTGATTTTGAAATTGTAGGTCGTCTTGAACCAGACTTCACAGGGCCCTATACAGTAAAAGAAGTCCTGGGGAAAAATGTTAGTCTGGCAAATCGGGAGGGAACTTCACTGAAGAAAAAAGTCAGTGTCGACCACATTAAACCATACAAGAGGAGTCTTGCAATGGATGACAACATTCCAAAGAAACGGTACTTTCCACAGATTTTAAATGTGTATATATGAATGTAATACAATATAGTAATTGATCTCTACTCCTATAGTCCACACCTCGAAATGACCACAACTAGGCCATCTGTTATTAAGTTTGCTCCTCTACCACAACACTTGGTAAATACTACTGAAGAATGCTTCAGTAATTTACACGTATTCCTTTTCAAATGTTTTAAGTCTTTCAGAAATTAATGTCTGATGGATTACAAATTATTAAGTTGAATTTACATTAATATTTTTTCTGTATGTAACGATTTGTGTAAATAATCATCCTCTAGCATCCACGTGATGCATGTGAAACAAAAGAGAGCGTAGCAGAGCAAGGTTGTAATGACACAAAGTTCTGACCTGTTGGGTCATGTGTTCAGAACACCCATGTTCAGGGTTTGACATTTGTATGTTTGACTTATTTTGCTTTGCTTCTTTCCCATTTCATTTTCTCAACTCAATCATGGAATCTAATCTTAGGAACACTGTGTTATTGTAAATAATAACCAAAAGCTATAAAGTCAGATATATCAATGGTACATAAATACTGTGAATAGTAAAGTTAGACTTATACACCATCATCAGAGCTTGCTCAGCACCAATTTATCACACATAATACGTATATATCATGAGCACTTATAATTTTATATATATATATATACATATAATTTAAATATTACTCTATATATAATATACATGATAAAGAAAATTATTATAATAAATATTATATGGATAAATGATGATAATGATAACGTTAGGATTAGTAAAGGCTGTGATATGTATAGACTTATAAGGAATTAAGGAAACAATATTAATATAAACATATTATACATACACTGTACAAATCAAGTACAAGGGAGCTTAAAAGTCTTATCCTCTCCCACTCCTTTTTGAGCTGGATTGTTGTTAATAAAACAAAACTGTATATTTGTACTTCTATTCTGTTGTTGTTTTGTTTGTTTTGTCCTTTTTTTTCTTGTTTGCCATGGCTCAAAATAAAGTATTCATTCATTCGTACTGAATGTGTGACAATTTAGGACCACTTTTTCCTCTCTTTCAACTTTTACCATTTCTACTTACTTTTGTGTAACAAAGGTAAAATGGATGAGGTGTTATTGCTGACCAGCCAATGAGAAGCTGGTCACATGATTGACTTTTGAATATACCACAAACATGATTCCTGCTTGAATCTGTAGCGTTTCACTGATTCACTGTCATCCAGTGTATAGAATATTTCTCCTGTCTCCACCGTCCACCATTTTGTGCTCTTAGGGAACTTTTAAGTCGCTAAAAGTCCTCCTCTCAACTCTTAAGGGATCTCCCCTTAAGAGCACTCTTAAGAGCTAGGATTTTTTAGGAATAGCTTTTATCTTAACTAGGAGCTACTCCTCACTTTTAGGGGAAATTCTAAGAGTTGGTCAAGATTCTAAGAAAATTCTTAGAATTTGGCCACTAGGAGCAACTTTTAGCAGTAAGAATCTTTAGGAATACGGCCCCTGATGTTCCCAGATCATGCTTTAAAATTTCACTCAACAGGAGCCTATTCAAAAAATTGGTTTGCTTAACTTGGCTTTCAAAAAGTGGCAAAGATAATTTCATACATTCATTACAATATTCTATTTGGCCTTGTGGAATGAGTACATAACCTCTTTATGAATAGGGTTCCTGTTTGCTTTTGCTTATATCAATCCTAATATATGTATATTTACTATTGACACTTTCTAATGTTCTAGTTCAAATTTTCTAATTTATTTTTTCACTTTCAGTTTTGGCAATCTGGTCAGGCCAAAGAGATCGAGTGGAGGCAGCTGTTGGCTGCTTTAAACTGTACAGCTCGTCGTTTAGGACACTCGAGGGGTCACATTGGCTGTCAGATGAAGTGTGATTTTTGAAGTGTGATGAAGTGTGATTTTTCTCAACCAACCATTTGAAACGTGTAACAATTCTCTGTCTATAATCCAGGTCATTGATGCTTATCTTCATGTGCTGGTGGACAAAGAAGAGGCATGTCACTTATAATAAAAGGCTCATTCATTTCGCTCTTTCTCCACAGTACTTTCTAACAGCCTCCTGTTTATGTGTAATTTACATTGACTTGTTTCCGCAGAAACCTGTTTGCCATCTCACTGCAGTGGTAGGCACGAGCCTCTTTGTGCGTGGACAAATGGGCCCACTAGCAAAGGTTATCCAGAATGTTGTGCCATATGTTCACTGCAAACACATACCGTTTAAGTAACTCTTTGGTTTCACTTTTTAGATGAAATTCCCAGAAGAGAAGCGTTGGGTCTGTCCTATTAATACAGGTGGCCACTGGGTTTTAGTGGTCGTGCTGATGGAGGAAAAGGTCCTAATCCTGATTGACCCACTAGGGAACGAGGCTATGTATAAGAAGTATTCTGAAAAACTGGAGGTTAGTCCTGTCTGAAAACATATCTAGTATTTATGACCCAACTGTACTTAAACTGTTCAATTCACCATAGGAAGTTTCTGAGGCAGGCTGACGGTAGTCAGTGGACCGTGAGTGTGCTCCAGCACAAAATACAAGCTGACACCTCGAGTTATGGGATTTTGATTTTGAAGGTGAATCTGTAATCACTTCTGTTACGACAGCTTGTACCAACACAGACTATTGGGGTTGTAACAAGCAAATTGACAATTATTCAAAGAATCTATTACTTGAGATTAATCAACTAATATTTCAAGAATCAGAAAAGCGTGGCTCACAATTGTAACCACTTTGGGACTCTGGTCTGTGAAAGTTACTTGCTTACTAACTAATTAAGTAATCAATAAATCATTTTTCGAGTCAACTACAGTTTTAGACGTGCTGTGAAGAGGTTTTATGACTGAAATAGCTGTAATCACTCCAGAATGATATTAAAATGTAAAGAGATGACAATAGTTTCAATTTGTCTAATACATTCTTCATCCAGTGGGAGAATGAGTTGTGATGTAATCCATAGAATAATCGATTTATTTTTAATTACAGCCATATTATCTGTTTGTGTGTATAGTTTGCAGAGGCATGCCTGTTTCAAGGACATTTGGATGTTGACAGAACAGACCACAAATATATTGCAGCAGCTCGTATGGAAGTAGCATGCACACTGCTGCAGCAAGGAGGTTATTGCTCCACACGTTGGCATGAAAGATTCTTCTTTTTCTTATATACAAATTATTTTATATGAATAAAAATCCCTGGTTTAGTTTTAAAACTTAAAACCTGAATTAACTTGTATTTATTTGTAGGTAAAGATGACTACTGCATTGTCTGTTGCCTTCACGTAGGTGAAATCGAAAAGGTATCTTCGCCCTATTGACAAGTGTTGTTTGTGCAATGTCTGATTGCTCTTTCATTATTTTTTACAGGTGCAGTGCTGTACGTGCAGGAGCTTTGCACATTTGGATTGCACTGACCAGAGGAGATGAGATTAAATGTTCGAATTGTAAATAATCTCAAACTGTGAGACAAATATTTTTTTAAATAAAATAAATACCTTGTTGCAACAGTTTCCTGTTTTTTTAATTGACCCTGTCTTCATCAGATGCTTCAGTTCCAACTGGGTCTCATAATAAACATCTTACCTCCTATTGAAGACAATGTTAAACCCTTAAGTGTGGGAGAACTACTTAAAATGTGCAATACAAATGTTTACTATTATTTAGGACAAAAAAGTGAATACTTATCAAGTACTGTGGTTTTACACATTTAATTGAACTGGATTCACTTTTACATCAGATCAGATTTTACTAACTACTACTAAATATTTCTCTTTTGAGTTACCTTGTGTATGAGTTGTGTTATACAAATAAATGCGAGTATCCACAATAGTGTAACGTACACCAGAAATTCAGCTCCACTTCTATCATACAGCAGCAGTGAGGTTTCACAGGAGCAGTTGACCACTTAAATCAAACTTTACACGAAACGTTGACTCCTAAAACCCCCATATAACAACCTAGAACCATCAACATCTCGCCTCAAATTGCATTAAAAGTGACATTCGCGTCTTAATTCGTTCGTATTTTGCTTTTTAAAGCAATTCACAGAGTTTATGTCCGCCATCTTGGCTGCCGTGAGAAGCGCATGCGCAGGTTTGCATTACATCATAAACAGCTGAGACAGATCATCTCGACGAACAGACCAAATCGACAGAACACCGGCAACGGATAAAGCGGAAGAAAATGGATGGATGGACTTTGTGAAATATGAAACCAGATTCTGAAAGTCTGGACTGTCTTCTTTCATGAACACATATGTTGGTTTCTAGCTCGTTCGGTTCTCCTGTAATCCCCAGTCGAATAGAGGAAAGTTTAACAGAAATCACCGGTCTCACAATTGGGGTCTACAATGACTTAACAAGGTCATTGTAGACTCCCTGGGACTAAATACATATAAAATACATGTGTGGACATTGGTCTCTGCTCCTTATGGACACACGGCTCTGTGTGTTTTTATCACTGCATTTCTTGTGTGTAAACGGTTTGAGTCTCTGGTCTGTTATTGGCAAATCGACAACTTTGCAAAGACTACACAGGGCTAAACATGGGGAGAAAGCATTTCATATTCATGCTAAAACAGTCTTCCTGAAAATGTGAGACAGACTTCCTCTCTGACAATGTTCCAATCCAGTTAAAATCTGTCTTTATTCTATATACAGTATATATCTAGGTGTGATTTTGACGCCCGTGTGACAGTTTCTATCTTGTCTTCTTAATACACTTTGAGTTAAGCTTGTGTATGAACCGTGCTATACAATTAAACTTGCCTTGCTTTCCAAAACAATCTTGAATTCTGTTATAAAAATCTCATTCGCCCCGTGTTGGTTTTTGCTGCTCATTCCTCAGACTGAACTTTGTTATACGGGACTGCGCCGTTAGCGATAGCATGGGAGTAGCTTCTGGACTCGTCAGGGTTGCCAGGTTGTGCACAGGGTCCCATTGCCCGCGGCCAGGACTTTTCCTCATATAAGATCCACAGAAAACCTGGACTGAATGCAGAGTGTGACACCGGCGAGGATAATGAGGAGTGTAGGTGTGTGTAAAGCACGCTCTGTACCAGGAAGTGGAGCTGCAACTGTTTCTATGGAAAAGAGAACATTAGGTTAGCTCCATTATGAGAAACCTTTAGAATTCACTCGCTTTCGCTCAAGGCTTTTTGGCAACTAAAGTTAAGCCTCGCTGTCTCTTATCACTTCACTGTTAATTATTTATCAGACTTTTTACTTTTAAACCCACGTTTCTGCAAGTTTTAGATTAAAAAACACTGACATGAAGCGATTTACTTTTCTTCCACTGGGTTAGAGAGAGAGAGGTCAGAGAGATGGAGAGAGAGAGAGACCAGAGAGAAAGAGAGAGACCAGAGAGATGGAGAGAGAGAAAGAGATAGAGAGAGACCAGAGAGAAAAAGAGAGACCAGAGAGATGGAGAGAGAGAAAGAGATAGAGAGAGACACCAGAGAGAAAGAGAGAGACCAGAGAGAAAGAGAGAGACGGAGAGAGCGAGAGCAGAGATGGGGAGAGAGAGAGACCAGAGAGATGGAGAGAGAGATAGAGATTGAGAGAGACACCAGAAAGAGAGACCAGGGAGATGGGGAGAGAGACACCAGAGAGATGGAGAGACAGACACCAGAGAGAAAGAGAGAGACCAGAGAGATGGAGAAAGAGAGAGAGAGAAAGAAAGAGAGACCAGATAGACGGAGAGTGAGAGACACCAGAAAGAAAGGGAGACTAGAGAGATGGAGAGAGAGAGACACCAGAGAGAACGAGAGAGACCGGAGAGATCGACTGTTGTGATTTAGGGCTGTACAAGAACACATTGAACTGAAACATTATTGTTGGTAACCATTAGAGAGAGAGATGGAGAGAGAGACACCAGAGAGATGGAGAGAGAGACACCAGAGAGATGGAGAGAGAGACACCAGAGAGATGGAGAGAGAGACACCAGAGAGATGGAGAGACACACCAGAGAGATGGAGAGAGAGACACCAGAGAGTTGGAGAGAGAGACACCAGAGAGATGGAGAGAGAGACACCAGAGAGATGGAGAGAGACACACCAGAGAGATGGAGAGAGAGACACCAGAGAGATGGAGAGAGACACACCAGAGAGATGGAGAGAGAGACACCAGAGAGATGGAGAGAGACACACCAGAGAGATGGAGAGAGAGACACCAGAGAGATGGAGAGAGAGACACCAGAGAGATGGAGAGAGAGACACCAGAGAGATGGAGAGACACACCAGAGAGATGGAGAGAGAGACACCAGAGAGATGGAGAGAGACACACCAGAGAGATGGAGAGAGAGACACCAGAGAGATGGAGAGACACACCAGAGAGATGGAGAGAGAGACACCAGAGAGATGGAGAGAGACACACCAGAGAGATGGAGAGAGAGACACCAGAGAGATGGAGAGAGAGACACCAGAGAGATGGAGAGACACACCAGAGAGATGGATAGAGACCAGAGAGATGGAGAGATGATCATTGGGACTGGACCGAGAGGGACGGGCTCCAAACAGATTCATGATGGTCTGCTTCTGTTGTCTCTCTGCGTGGGTTGGAACTCTGCCCCTTCCGTCGCCACTTCCTGGATCAGACATTTCCGGCCTTTTCTCTCTAAAACGCCTGTCACTGAGCTGTTAGAAACCCTTTGCACTGTGAACAAATGCACTGTCCTCTTGGAGAAACCGAGGCCGGATTTCATAATGGATCCAGACTTTGATACGACAAACCCGGGGTGTATTTCAGCGCAGAGAAAGAAGGCATCAAACAGTGAGATAATATTAATAATAATAATAATAATAATAATGTGTTGGTTTTATACGGCGCTTTTCTGGACGCTCAAAGACGCTTCAGATGTCATTATTCTGTCTCTCCAAGCACAGTGGTGATAAAAGACTAATCTAGCCACAGCTGCCCTGGGGCACACCACAGTGATGATTATATACAGGACACTTTTTTTTATTAATAATTATGATGGCATTGTTTCTCTCCATGGGGTGAAATGACAAGAAATGGGACAATAACACGGTGGCACGGTCCATACACACAAGACATCTCGAAGTGCAAAGTAATCAGTTCGTTAGCGACATTGTTTTTTCTAATTCAAAGAAAACTACCCAGAGTTCAATGCAATGACG